GGTCATCTCCTACATGTACGTCTGGTCTTACCATGTGTAAACTCTGGTCCATGGTCATCTCCTACATGTACGTCTGGTCTTACCATGTGTAAACTCTGGTCCATGGTCATTTCCTACATGTACGTCTGGTCTTACCATGTGTAAACTCTGGTCCATGGTCATCTCCTACATGTACGTCTGGTCTTACCATGTGTAAACTCTGGTCCATGGTCATCTCCTACATGTACGTCTGGTCTTACCATGTGTAAACTCTGGTCCATGGTCATCTCCTACATGTACGTCTGGGTCTGATCCTCGGAGTCTCTGGACGTAGATGATAGAGACACAGTAGAATGAGTCTGGTGTGTGTGTGAATGGTTGGTGGTGGTGGGAGGGGCCGATGGCACAGACTGGTTGCCTCGCTTCTGTCAGTGTGCCCCAGGGCAGCTGTGGCTACAGTAGTAGTTTATCACCACCGTGTTTGGAGTGGAAGTAATGACATGTGAAGCGTCTTTGAGCGTCCTAAAGAGTGCTAAATGAAACCGATGCATTATTATTATTATTATTTACAGTCTATTTCATTTTGACATGCACGTCTTTAATGACATCGTACTCATTTCATTTTGTACATGACGGAAAATAACAATAGACTGGAGTTTACAGAAGGCCAGTCTACAACACAGGGCAAGAGGAAAAAACACCAAACTCCTCCTTCTTCTTCTGTTCTTTACTGACGGGATACGAATTACAAATGACGTATGCTGCCACCTGCTGTATCGGAGTGATCAAAGTCTTCGGAACAATTTTACAGTCAGTTTATTTGACGTAAAAAATAAGACAATGCCCTCCATGCCTTCTCTGTCACACCCCGTTCCTGAGGCTATACTTCCTGTTTTATTTTGTACTTACCTTATGTCTCATTGCAGAGCAGTTTTTGTGGCTAATTAAAAAGCCTAAACATCGACATGCTCTTGTGTGTTTCCTGTACATGCACGTATATTGTTGTATTTTGGAGTTTTGAAGTCGTACTGTTTAAGTCTGACTCCCTCTGAACACAGGGACACGATCGATAGTGACTGCTTTTATTTCGAGAAACACACTTCTTTGTTCATCCCACAGAAGATGACAACAACATAAATAAAACATACAAAAAGAATCACAAACAAAAGAATACATTTTGTACATTACTGATTTGTACATGGACCATATTTACACGTTGCCCTTTTTACAAGATACTTTGGAATGTTTTATGTACCACTTTTCTCGGTACAAAAACGGTTCCGTCTTTTTTCTGCAGTAAAAAAAAGAAAAGAAATGAAATGTCCTCCCTCTCTCCGGAGAAGATGGGTTCTACTTTAGTGCATTTTATGGTCCTGATTTAAGGCTAGGGGGAGGAGGACAAGCTGGTCTCATCGACAGAGCCATCATGGAGTCCATTCTGCGGCTGATTGTCGTGGAATTCCCTCCAGTCGCTCCCGGTCCTCACATCGCACTGATCCAAAACTGAATAACCAATTACATCTGCGACACCGTTTTTATTTCATGCAGTCAATAACAAACGCAGAGTTGGGGAAACGTCTCGGAGCGTAGGCCCAGAACCAGACTCTGCACAGTATGTCAATCCCTCACAGCGGGAATTACATATATATAAAACAAACTAATTAAATTGGCTTCACGGTGAGTTGAGTTTTAGTAGCTGCAGTGCCCCCTAGTGGCCGGAGAGATTCTTATAATAAAACTACAAATTACATTTTTCTTGTTGCTTTGACAGGATTACACCAAAAGCCATAAACAAAAGACATGGAGCAGCTAATTGGCTGTCGGTGTAAGCTTCTTACCGACACCGCTGGAAGAAACCACGACAGAAGAGCCATTTTTCACACAGACAGAAAGTGAACAGACTGCTCTTAAAAGGACTGAGGTCGGGCTGCGCTTTACTGTAGTGCACTGCAGAGGAAATGTGAGCTACTGTGAGCTACTGTGAGCTACTGTGAGCCACTGCAGAGCTACTGTGAGCTACTGTGAGCCACTGCAGAGCTACTGAGAGCTACTGTGAGCCACTGAGAGCCACTGCAGAGACAATGTGAGCCACTGCAGAGAGACTGTGAGCCACTGAGAGCTACTGTGAGCTACTGTGAGCCACTGCAGAGCTACAGTGAGCTACTGTGAGCCACTGCAGAGCCACTGTGAGCTACTGTGAGCCACTGCAGAGCTACTGTGAGCTACTGAGAGCCACTGCAGAGACAATGTGAGCCACTGCAGAGAGACTGTGAGCCACTGAGAGCTACTGTGAGCCACTGAGAGCCACTGCAGAGACAATGTGAGCCACTGCAGAGAGACTGTGAGCCACTGAGAGCTACTGTGAGCCACTGAGAGCCACTGCAGAGACAATGTGAGCCACTGCAGAGAGACTGTGAGCCACTGAGAGCTACTGTGAGCCACTGAGAGCCACTGCAGAGACAATGTGAGCCACTGCAGAGAGACTGTGAGCCACTGAGAGCTACTGTGAGCTACTGAGAGCTACTGTACCATGACACTGGGATTGGACCTGACCAGCAGGCACATGGGGATTATAATGGCTTCAAGGTGGCTGAGTGGATCTCGGGTCTCAGCAAGAAGATCCTGGGTTCGAATCCCAGTCGGAACAGTGCCTTTTCTGAGTGGAGTTTGTATGTTCTCCCTGTGTCTGCGTGGGTTTCCTCCGAGTTCTCCGGTTTCCCCCACCACTCAAAACATGCACAATGCCCACAACAGGTGTAAAGCGCTTTGTGACTCTGTGAAAGGCGCCATATAAACACACATGGTTAATGGTCAAGGCCCTTTCAGTGTCATACTTTTATAGATTCATCATCATATAGATTACTATTTCAAGCCTTTGTCTAAACTTTCAGCTTCTCTCCCTGAAACTTAGACTTTTAGATGTTGCATAGAATTTCAAATACTGCCTTTGAGAGCCGGTCTTGTCAGGTCGTACTTATATATCGAGATTTGATATTGGCCGTTAATAAACCATTTCATCTCCTCTAACTTTGGTTTTATCCTTCATTAACACAGTGTGGTGAAAAACATGCTCCGACTCTAATAGACGGAGATGAAAAAGCATCAGGTGAACTTCTGACAGACTGATGCACATTAGTATGCGACCTGCAGCGGTACATGCAATTAAAAAGTGAAGGAAAGACGGTCGCATAAAAGCCCCGACAGGCAGGTGAAGTGCGGATCAAGCTAATGCTAACGCTAACAGATACGCCTCAATCCTGTCGTGGCGGAGAGTCGGAAACTGAGAGGCACATCTGCGGAGATTCAGAACACGACACAGACGTTAATCACATGAAGGAAAAACTCATCAGGCAGTGTGACTTATGATTTCAATTAGGCTGCGAGGAAAGGACTCTGACAAATCTCCTGAAAGCAAGGGATAAAAAGAGATTAAAGAGGGGATAATAAATATATAAATTATGTTAATTTATACTGCTACTGGAGAATGCACATTTCTCTAAGTCTATCTTATCTACAGCCTCAGTCCTCGTTCTACAGTCTGAGTCCTGGATCTACAGTCTCAGTCCTCGTTCTACAGTCTGAGTCCTGGATCTACAGTCTCAGTCCTCGTTCTACAGTCTGAGTCCTGGATCTACAGCCTCAGTCCTCGTTCTACAGTCTGAGTCCTGGATCTACAGTCTCAGTCCTCGTTCTACAGTCTGAGTCCTGGATCTACAGCCTCAGTCCTCGTTCTACAGTCTGAGTCCTGGATCTACAGTCTCAGTCCTCGTTCTACAGTCTGAGTCCTGGATCTACAGCCTCAGTGCTCGTTCTACAGTCTGACTCCTGGATCTACAGCCTCAGTCCTCGTTCTACAGTCTGAGTCCTGGATCTACAGCCTCAGTCCTCGTTCTACAGTCTGAGTCCTGGATCTACAGCCTCAGTCCTCGTTCTACAGTCTGAGTCCTGGATCTACAGCCTCAGTCCTCGTTCTACAGTCTGAGTCCTGGATCTACAGTCTGAGTCCTTGTTCTACAGTCTGACTCCTGGATCTACAGCCTCAGTCCTCGTTCTACAGTCTGACTCCTGGATCTACAGCCTCAGTCCTCGTTCTACAGTCTGACTCCTGGATCTACAGCCTCAGTCCTCGTTCTACAGTCTGACTCCTGGATCTACAGCCTCCGTCCTCGTTCTACAGTCTGAGTCCTGGATCTACAGCCTCAGTCCTCGTTCTACAGTCTGACTCCTGGGTCTAAAGCCCGTCTGTCCGTGTGGAGCGGATCTCTCTCTCTCAATGTGGATCTCCCCGAGGTTTCTCACTTTTCTCCCACTGGGTTTTAGAGTTTTTCCGCTGTTAGACTGTAGATGTCTATGAAGAAGGACCGGGGTAATGATCCAGAACATTCTACGACATTCATGGACATTGGTCAACCCCCTATGGTCCCATACCATGTGTTCCATATTCTCTTTGAACCCATTGACTGCCATTGACGCATTTGTCTGAGACCCTCTATGCGACTGGGGATTACAGGAGAACAAAACTAGCTAGAACCAAAATTATTTCTGCTGATGAAAGTAGACAATCCCGTCTTTCAGAATCTGGTTTCATATTTTACATAGTCACAGGAAATAATATTCTGTGGGGGCTTGAAAATCAGTGAAATAATCAAAAACGACAGGCAGTCAGTGACTTCATTCTCTGATCTGTGTTGTAGATTTCTATGGTTTTGTTAAGTCCTGTGATATGACTACTGTTGTTATTTAGGGCGATAAAATAATAAAATTGAATTGAATGAATGTTTAATGACTTCTCTTGTAAACAAACACCTAAACATTGTGAGTAAGGCTTTACCAAACATGAAAGTGCATCTAGTTTGCAATTGTGTGTCTGTTTAGCCACAATCATAAAATATGGACCGTTCAAATCCAGTGAAATGGTGGAACGTGGCGAGCGACGGCGACCGGAGCAACGGTGGAACAAGATGAAAGTCTGTCAGTTCTGTTCCACTTGCAGATGATCGCAGGTTCTTGAGTCAAAGTCTTTAGCAGAAGAAAATCTCTCCGTCCAGAGGAGCCTCCTGGATCTGTGGCCCGTCTGAAAGAAAGAGTTTGTTGTTACTTTGTTTGTTTTTGTTTTTGTTCTGCCTTACGCTCTTTAGATCACCTTCAATCTACTTTATGGTAAGAACTTATTTACAGAAGTTTAAAGGAGCAGTGTGTAAACATGTGGCCAAAAGTGGTACTGCAGCCTCTCCCACTCTCCCTGACTCAGGTTGCCAGATATGCAGACGAATCCAGCTGGGACCATAACAGCTGAATAGACAAGAGTTTTGTCAACAACAAATCTATAACCAACACCTTTTTCACAAAGATATAAATCCTGGTTTTATTCCTTGTTTTGTCGTTAATGATTTGAGAATCATAACGAGACCTTTTTTAGTTCTGCGCCACATGGTACTTTACCAGTGAGATTAGCTCCACGCGGTGAGTTCTGGCGCCCGGATCACAGGACTTTCTGATTGGTGAAACGGTGGAGGGCGGGACATCGAAATGAAAACAATAACAAGATTTAGGGGCTGGACAGATTAGGGCCCTTTAATGATGAGAGATTAGGACCCTTTAATGATGACAGATTAGGGCCCTTTAATGATGAGAGCTTAGGACCCTTTAATGATGACAGATTAGGGCCCTTTAATGATGAGAGATTAGGACCCTTTAATGATGACAGATTAGGGCCCTTTAATGATGAGAGATTAGGACCCTTTAATGATGAGGGATTAGGACCCTTTAATGATGACAGATTAGGGCCCTTTAATGATGACAGATTAGGGCCCTTAATGATGACAGATTAGGGCCCTTTAATGATGACAGATTAGGGCCCTTTAATGATGACAGATTGCTACAAAAAGGTTTTTGACGATTGTAAACACCTTTACATTTTATCGGCTTGTTATTTTATATATTGTAAAAAACAAAATATAAAATACAAAAACACCTGTAAAGATTGTAAGTATATAAATGTAATATTTTTTTTATAAAAATACAACATGTAAAGAGGCAGATATTATACGACTTGTTCTTCATCTTTGCTCCGTTTCATTCAGACTTTATGATATTGGTGTTTTTGTGTTTCTCACTCTGAATAAAATAAATAAAATAATATATATATTAAGTGAGGCCGTATTTACATGATGTACTGCACTATCCGGACTATAAGCCACACCTGACTATAAGCGGCAGCTTTCAAAATGAAGAAAAAAAAACATGGTTTATAGTCCGAAAAATACGTTTTTCTATATTCTCTAACTATAACAACGATACTGATTGTATTGATTGTGTAGTGGTAGACACGGCACACACCTTCTGCCGGATCCCCCTTCTTCTTCTTCTTCTTCTTGTCCCTGTCTTTGCTCTCTTTGCTCTTGTTCTTGGCGAGCTGCAGCAGACCTTTGGAGAGCTGGCTGTTGGCCTCACTGTTCTTACAGCTCGCATTTGTGGATGAGGAGGTGAAGGGATTAAGTCCTTTTCCTTTAGATTTACTCCTCAGAGACGGCACAGAACTCAGCTCCACTGGCTCCAGCTCCAGAGACTGAGAGCTGCCCACGAGCTGCGACTGCTCTGACGTGGACAAAGTCAGTCTCTGAAAAGACGGACGAGAGTTTACACACGAGAAGAAAACACTGCCCTGGATTCATTCATAAAAAACACTCTGGATTCACTTTAGTCCTACCCTAGTCCCACCACACCATGGTACTCATTTCATTTGTACTAAGGTCTGGATTTGCTCCCTCCGTTAACAGGTGGGAGGGGCTAACTCCTTTTGCAGATTGAAACGATTGGATCTGAGTTTACCGTGACGTATGTAATGAGCCCGAGTGAGTCGTTAGCATTTAGCCTAGCTTTAGCATTTAGCCTAACTTTAGCCATCTCCTTTGTCACTAACGGAGCCCGTGGGGAGTAGAGCCACAACAATCTTTGCTTCAATGACATTTACTAAACATTCCTCTTGCTCCGGCTTCAGTTTCTTGATATTTGGATTGAACCAGAACAGACGCCTAAAACTTAACCAGTCACCATTTAAGGACTTATTAGTCTAAAACTAATTCGAAAGTACGAGTGTTACTTCCGGTTTTGTCCCGATTCCGTTTATGATCTAGTGCTGACCTTACCCCAACCCCCAACCCTTACCTTAACCTCTACCCCAAACCCAACCCTTACCCTAACCCTCTGTTTTGCCCATAAAAAGTAGCCCCTAACCCCAACCCCAATCCTTACCCCAATCCTTACCCCAACCCCCCAAACAGGTGCTCATGGTATCGTATCACACTTTCTCCTTCTAACTTCCCTCCAGGACACAGGAACACAGTTGAAACAGTTCTTTGATAAAACAACACGTTCTTTGTGCATTTTCCCCGATCTCATGGATCCGTGGGACGTGTCCTGACCTGGCTCAGACGCAGCTCGTCCATCCTGTCGAGCTGCCGCTGCACAGTCTCTCGGTCTCTCTCCAGTTTCCTCTGGGCGTCCCGCAGTCTCTCCAGGTCCCTCTGGTACTCCTCCTTCCGGTTCTGCAGCTCCTGTTTCTCCACCTCCATCTTATCGTGCTGCTGTAGGATCTCCTCCTCCTGCAGAGCACCATCAGAGTCAGATTCAGAGACAACTGCAGTTTATTCAGAATGATGCAGCTTTCTTGTTCTCGTTCATAAGTCGTTCCCTCTGGATCTTTTGTTGCCTCTGTTCAGATGGAGATAACGGAAGAGGAATAGAGCCTAGTTCCTTAAGGTTCTTGTTGTCTTGATAAAAAGCCAGTTTTCGGCCAAATGCAAGTTCTCTTCCTGTGCCTATTTCACCGCTGATTTGACCATCTGCTGTAGTTGTGGAAGATATAGGTATTGTTACATGTACGCCAGAGACCAGACCAGAGACCAGACCAGAGACCGGACCAGAGACCAGACCAGAGACCGGACCGGAGACCAGAACAGAGACCAGAACAGAGACCAGACCAGAGACCAGACCAGAGACCGGACCGGAGACCAGACTAGAGACCAGACCAGAGACCAGCCCGGAGACCAGACCAGAGACGAGAACAGAGACCAGACCGGAGACCAGACCAGAGACCAGACCAGAGACCAGACCGGAGACTAGAAAGAGACCAGACCAGAGACCAGCCCGGACCAGACCAGACCGGAGACCAGACCAGACACTAGAACAGAGACCAGACCAGATACCAGAACAGACACCAGACCAGAGATCAGACCAGAGACCAGACCAGAGATCAGACCAGAGACCAGACCAGAGACCAGACCAGAGACCAGACCAGAGACCAGACCTAAGACCAGACCAGAGACCAGACCGGATTTTATTCTGCTTTAACTTGTTTGCACCGAGAGCCAAAGCAATTTCCTAGTTTGTGACTTCTTGTAAAAGGATTTTGATTCTGTGTACCTATGTACCTGTGTACCCATGTGCCTGTGTACCTATGTACCTGTGTACCCATGTGCCTGTGTACCTATGTACCTGTGTACCCATGTGCCTGTGTACCTGTGTACCTGTGTACCCATGTGCCTGTGTACCTATGTACCTGTGTACCCATGTGCCTGTGTACCTGTGTACCCATGTACCTGTGTACCTATGTACCTGTGTACCCATGTGCCTGTGTACCTGTGTACCCATGTGCCTGTGTACCTATGTACGTGTGTACCCATGTGCCTGTGTACCTGTGTACCCATGTGCCTGTGTACCTATGTACCTGTGTACCCATGTGCCTGTGTACCTGTGTACCCATGTGCCTGTGTACCTATGTACCTGTGTACCCATGTGCCTGTGTACCTGTGTACCTGTGTACCCATGTACCTGTGTACCCATGTGCCTGTGTACCTGTGTACCTATGTACCTGTGTACCCATGTGCCTGTGTACCTATGTACCTGTGTACCTATGTACCTGTGTACCCATTTACCTGTGTACCCATGTACCTATGTACCCGTGTACCCATGTACCCGTGTACCCATGTACCTGTGTACCCATGTACCCGTGTACCTGTGTACCCATGTACCTGTGTACCCATGTACCCGTGTACCCATGTACCTGTGTACCCATGTACCCATGTACCCGTGTACCCATGTACCCGTGTACCCATGTACCCATGAACCCATGAACCCATGTACCCATGTACCCATGTACCCATGTACCCATGTACCTGTGTACCCGTGTACCCGTGTACCCATGTACCTGTGTACCCATGTACCCATGTACCTGTGTACCCATGTACCCATGTACTCGTGTACCCGTGTACCCATGTGCCCGTGTACCCATGTGCCTGTGTACCTATGTACCTGTGTACCCATTTACCTGTGTACCCATGTACCTATGTACCCGTGTACCCATGTACCCGTGTACCCATGTACCTGTGTACCCATGTACCCGTGTACCTGTGTACCCATGTACCCGTGTACCCATGTACCTGTGTACCCATGTACCCGTGTACCCATGTACCCGTGTACCCATGTACCTGCGTACCCATGTACCCGTGTACCCATGTACCCGTGTACCCATGTACCTGTGTACCCATGTACCCGTGTACCTGTGTACCCATGTACCTGTGTACCCATGTACCTGTGTACCCATGTACCCGTGTACCCATGTACCTGTGCATGCATGAGCGCCTCCTTGTGGGCGATCAGCTGCTCCCTCTGCTCCCACTCCTTCTCCCTCCTCTTCCTCTGGTCAGCGTGAGCGGCCTGCTGTCGGTGCAGAGAGGTCAGGTCCTGTCGCTGCTTCTCCAGACTCCGCTGCTTCTCCTGCTCGATCAGAGAGCCCGGTCTGGAGGAGGACCGAGACTGAGACGGGACCGAAGAGGAGCCCAAAGAGGAGCCCAAAGAGGAGCCCGAAGAGGAGCGCTCACTCAGGGCCTGACGCTGGTCCTCGATGAAGCTGTCCTGCTGCACCACCACGGCCTGCCACACACAATCACACACAGAGTCACACACAGAGTCACACAATGGTCACACAATGGTCACACACATGGTCATAGAGGCTGAGTTTACACGGAGACAATGTGGCAGTAAAACGCTATAGTTGGATGTCGGTTTCTACCAACCGTTCATACGAAGACTGTGTTCTAGGTGAAAACGTAAGTGTTCAGATCCAGCCTCAGAGTGGGACAACGTAGGCCCTGTTTATACTGAGACGCTGCGCAGACGTTTCCAGGCTATTAACAGAAACGACCTGGCTCCTAATGCAAATTTCTCAGCGTTCACATGAGGTTGAAAAACGATGTAGTTCTAGCGCCCGGCCAGTAGGGGCCAGAGAAACTTTACAACACGACACACGACCCCCAGCCCCGTGCCCAGCCCCCCTCTCGGCAGTGTACTCACTTCCTGTGCCAGACCCTCAGAACGTACCAACATCATTCTGCATTTTAACAGCAGCTGTGAAAATGGGAACTGAACCTAAAGCTGCGCGTGGTCTCGTTTGGACGAACGAAGGAGTAGAATTATCCTCTGTGCCGCGCTGGAAGCCCACAAAGCTAGTTAGTTTGCGCTGCGCCATTGCTGTTGATGTTTGTTCTCCGCTACTGCGCATGTCTTCAGAACAAACATCAACAACAATGGCGGCGGTCACACTAACTAGCTTCGTGGGCTTCCAGCGCGGCACAGAGGATAATTCTACTCCTTCGTTCGTCCAAACGAGACCACGCGAAGCTCTATGTTCAGTTTCCATTTTCACAGCTGCTGTTAAAATGCAGAATGATGTTGGTGCGTTCTGAGGGTCTGGCACAGGAAGTGAGTACACTGCCGAGAGGGGGGCTGGGCACGGGGCTGGGGGTCGTGTTAGTGTTGTAAAGTTTCTCTGCCCCCTACTGGCCGGGCGCTAGAACTACATCGTTTTTCAACCTCATGTGAACGCTGAGAAATTTGCATTAGGAGCCTGGTCGTTTCTGTTAATAGCCTGGAAACGTCTGCGCAGCGTCTCAGTATAAACAGGGCCTCAGACACAGTCACACTCAGACAGCTGCTTCTCCACATTACGGACAGTGTTTTATGGACAAAGCACAGTCAAATACAACAGACGACATGTTAAGTAAAAATACAGCCTGACTCTCTCCAGACCCTTGTAGTTCTCTGAGCTTCACACGAGGGTCTGGGACTTCTCGATCGCAGATGTACGTAAGTGGGCGGGGCCTTGTATGTGATTGGATAAACCATGTGTCCTTTATTTTGAACGACGTGCTACTTCAATGACTCACATCCCAGCACAAGTATCAGCACACGACTCCCATGGGTTGCCAGATGCTGGCAAGATTTTCCAGCCGAAAAACCCGCGAGAATGCCCCCAAAGAAAACAAGGAGCCATCACCATCTCGCTTTATTGCATTAAAACCGTGTCTTAACTGATTTAAACTTTGAATCGAAATTCACAGACTTTATATCCACCATCTTGGATTGTTTTGGCTGAGACACGCTCGATAAAGCGGTGCAAACCGACGTTCGATCCTGATTGGCTGATTATTTTTTGCTTTCTTGAAGGAGTTTGCAATGCGCTCGATCCCAGACGCCTCTGGTGGAGAATGGAGGAACTACAAGAACTTAAAATAGGCCAAATGCAGTTTGAGAATTCCTATGAACCAGCTGCTATTGCCACGTTTTATTGTAAGTATATCCTGCACAGACTATATTTTTAACCTTTAACATGTTTCACACTTCCGTCTTTTGCACAATCTGAATGATTCTATCTGTGCCGAGTGGACATTTCTCCATCAGAGATCAATATGAAGCTTAGATAAACAGTATATTCTAATATTGACATCTTACCTGTAGAGAGCTGAGCAGGAGATGGAGATGGGAGACACTGCGGAGGAGCTGCTGTTCAGAAAAACAGAAAAACACAAAGATTTAGCTACAAACCATTGAAAAAAAATGTCGCACAGCTATTTATCATCATCATCATCAAACTTTTATTACAGACTCATGGTCCAGGAGAAGACAAACACATCTAATAAAAACACAAAACTACACATCACAGCATATTTATGTAGCTTCTGTGTTTTACTGTTTAGCTAAAGATCACTAGCAACAACCGCAACACAAGAAATGTTTATTAACAGCAGCAAAATGAGTCTTTCTTCTGGGTCCAGGCTCAGGTTTTCTGCTGCTTCAGGATCCTGCTTCTGTGATAATGACATGAGAGAAACTGTGCCGTGTAGAATAAATGACTTCAACTGAGGAATAAATAATAAATGGCTGAGGTTGTGGTTCCTGGGAATCCTGATTGACTGCTTTTACTTTACTGTCTATTTCCCTCCAGTGCTGGATCATAGCCTGGTCTTACCACACCATGGTACTCATTTCATTTCATACTAAGGTCTGGATGTGCTCCATTGACTCCGTGAACAGGTGGGAGGGGCTAACTCCTTTTGCAGATTGAAACCATTGGATCTGAGTTTACTGTGACGTATGTAATGAGTAGGGGTGTGACGATATATAGATTTTTCGATATATCGCGATACTTTCTCCCGCGATTCGATTATCGATATGCATTTGCCAAGTATCAATATCAATAAAAAAAAAATAAAAAAAAATGTATATATTTTTTTTGAATTGGTATAAATACTTAATATATGGCTACATTACGCATCTCCATTCTATTTATCATGAAATAAATAGTATTTTTCTTTTATTTATGCCATAAATTGGCATATTGTATATTTCTGACCAATATATCAATAATCGTCATATTGTGATAAAATCGTTATCGTGATATTATCGTTATTGTGATACTATCGTTATCGTGATATTATTGTTATCGTGAGCTTTGTATCGTGTATCATATCGTATCGTGAGGTACCCTTAGGTTCCCACCCCTAGTAATGAGCCAGAGTGAGTGAGGCATTTAGCATTTAGCCTAGCTTTAGCATTTAGCCTAGCTTTAGCATGTAGCCTAGCTTTAGCATTTAGCCTAGCTTTAGCATGTAGCCTAGCTTTAGCCCTCTCGGAGCCCGTGGGGAATAGAGCCACAACATTTTAATATTTGGATTGAACCAGAACGAATTACTTTATTGTCTCTGTCTTTGTCCGTCTGTTTTCCTGGTTCTTAAGTGTTGTTTTGCTTTGACCTTATACTTTTATTCTATTTTTGCTCCATTCCTGTGTCTTCTACCTCCTTCGTTCACTTTGGGGCCAATAAGATATTTCTTAACAATGATATTTACCTCACTGTTCCTCTTCATCACAAGCAGCAGGTTGGCGTTTCCTCCCTGCACACACACACACACATAAGCACACACACACACACACACACACACACACACACACACACACACACACACACACACACACACACAGACAAACACACACACACACACTGTCATCAGGGCTTTCTTAAATCAGGTTACAGCAGCACATCTAGGTCTGAATGCAATTGCACAGCTTTCAGTCATGATAAGAAGTCTGTCATTTGTAGTACAACAGTGTGCACCAGACAAGTGCAGACATAAAACAAGGTTAAAAATACACTGATAAAACAAATACAATTGTCAGCTAACAATATCTTCTTCCAGAGGGAAGAAGCTGGAACATGGCTTTTTACAGGGGCCAGAAGATTCATTGATTATTCTAAGAGCTCGGTTTAAAAGCAGCTCACAGTCCTCTTTGCAGAGCGAAGAATCTCTCTCTGGTCTCTCCCTGGTCTCTCCCTGGTCTCTCCCTGGTCTCTCCCTGGTCTCTCTCTGGTCTCTCTCTGGTCTCTCCCTGGTCTCTCTCTGGTCTCTCTCTGGTCTCTCTCTGGTCTCTCTCAGGTCTCTCTCTGGTCTCTCTCTCTGGTCTCTCTCTGGTCTCTCTCTGGTCTCTCTCTGGTCTCTCTCTGGTCTCTCTCTGGTCTCTCTCTGGTCTCTCTCTGGTCTCTCTCTGGTCTCTCTCTGGTCTCTCTCTGGTCTCTCTCTGGTCTCTCTCTGGTCTCTCTCAGGTCTCTCTCAGGTCTCTCTCTGGTCTCTCTCTCTGGTCTCTCTCTGGTCTCTCTCTGGTCTCTCTCAGGTCTCTCTCAGGTCTCTCTCTGGTCTCTCTCTCTGGTCTCTCTCTGGTCTCTCTCTGTTCTCTCTCTGGTCTCTCTCTGGTCTCTCTCTGGTCTCTCTCTGGTCTCTCTCTGGTCTCTCTCTGTTCTCTCTCTGGTCTCTCTCTGGTCTCTCTCTGTTCTCTCTCTGGTCTCTCTCTGGTCTCTCTCTGGTCTCTCTCTGGTCTCTCTCTGGTCTCTCTCTGGTCTCTCTCTGTTCTCTCTCTGTTCTCTCTCTGGTCTCTCTCTGGTCTCTCTCTGGTCTCTCTCCCTGGCCTCTCCCGGGTCTGGGACAGTGACAAAAAAAAGAGCTATAATCTTAAGCTAAATTGGAGAAACCCCATCCAGGAGAACATTTACTTTCATTATTTCACATTAACAACAAGAGAGTTTAGGGTGCTTGGATCCCGACCTTCTTGAGAACACTGTCGGATCCAGTCCTGCGAAGATCTGCTGTGTCCAGGTTTTCATCTTTGGCCGCACCTGAAATGAACCGAAAACAGTTACTTGCAGAAAAGAGAGATTTTTGGATCCTTTTTCAGCCGATGAACAATGGAAGAACAGTGACTGGCAACTGTCACGACACTGTTCGTCAGGAAACTCGATCAGACGTGTCTCTCTCTGGAGGCTTCATCTGCTCCACACTCACTATGGCTGATATAGTGACTCCAACGCACTGGTCTCTCTCTGGTCTCTCTCTGGTCTCTTCTTTGGTCTCTCTATGGTCTCTCTCTGGTCTCTCTATGGTCTCTCTCTGGCCTCTCTCTGGTCTCTCTTTGGTCTCTCTATGGTCTCTTCTTTGGTCTCTCTATGGTCTCTCTCTGGTCTCTCTATGGTCTCTCTATGGTCTCTCTCTGGTCTCTCTCTGGTCTCTCTCTGGTCTCTCTTTGGTCTCTCTTTGGTCTCTCTATGGTCTCTCTATGGTCTCTCTGGTCTCTCTCTGGTCTCTCTCTGGTCTCTCTCTCTGGTCTCTCTCTCTGGTCTCTCTCTCTGGTCTCTCTCTCTGGTCTCTCTCTCTGGTCTCTCTCTCTGGTCTCTCTCTCTGGTCTCTCTCTCTGGTCTCTCTCTCTGGTCTCCCTCTCTGGTCTCCCTCTCTGGTCTCTCTCTCTGGTCTCTCTCTCTGGTCTCTCTCTTTGGTCTCTCTCTTTGGTCTCTCTCTTTGGTCTCTCTCTCTTTCTGGTCTCCCTCTCTGGTCTCCCTCTCTGGTCTCTCTCTCTGGTCTCTCTCTTTGGTCTCTCTCTTTGGTCTCCCTCTCTGGTCTCTCTCTCTGGTCTCTCTCTCTGGTCTCTCTCTGGTCTCTCTCTCTGGTCTCTCTCTCTGGTCTCTCTCTCTGGTCTCTCTCTCTGGTCTCTCTCTCTGGTCTCTCTCTCTGGTCTCTCTGGTCTCTCTCTCTGGTCTCTCTCTCTGGTCCCTCTCTCTGGTCTCTCTCTGGTCTCTCTCTGGTCTCTCTCTGGTCTCTCTCTGGTCTCTCTCTCTGGTCTCTCTCTCTGGTCTCTCTCTCTGGTCTCCCTCTCTGGTCTCTCTCTCTGGTCTCTCTCTCTGGTCTCTCTCTCTGGTCTCTCTCTCTGGTCTCTCTCTCTGGTCTCTCTCTCTGGTCTCTCTCTCTGGTCTCTCTCTCTGGTCTCTCTCTTTGGTCTCTCTCTCTGGTCTCTCTCTCTGGTCTCTCTCTCTGGTCTCTCTCTCTGGTCTCTCTCTCTGGTCTCTCTCTCTGGTCTCTCTCTCTGGTCTCTCTCTCTGGTCTCTCTCTCTGGTCTCCCTCTCTGGTCTCCCTCTCTGGTCTCTCTCTCTGGTCTCTCTCTCTGGTCTCTCTCTCTGGTCTCTCTCTCTGGTCTCGTCTCTCTCTCTGGTCTCTCTCTCTGGTCTCTCTCTCTGGTCTCTCTCTCTGGTCTCTCTCTCTGGTCTCTCTCTCTGGTCTCTCTCTCTGGTCTCTCTCTCTGGTCTCCCTCTCTGGTCTCCCTCTCTGGTCTCTCTCTCTGGTCTCTCTCTCTGGTCTCTCTCTCTGGTCTCTCGCTCTGGTCTCTCGCTCTGGTCTCTCTCTCTGGTCTCCCTCTCTGGTCTCTCTCTCTGGTCTCTCTCTCTGGTCTCTCTCTCTGGTCTCTCTCTCTGGTCTCTCTCTCTGGTCTCTCTCTCTGGTCTCTCTCTCTGGTCTCTCGCTCTGGTCTCTCGCTCTGGTCTCTCTCTCTGGTCTCCCTCTCTGGTCTCTCTCTCTGGTCTCTCTCTCTGGTCTCTCGCTCTGGTCTCTCGCTCTGGTCTCTCTCTCTGGTCTCCCTCTCTGGTCTCTCTCTCTGGTCTCTCTCTCTGGTCTCTCTTTCTGGTCTCTGGTAGAATTAATCTGGAATACAAAGGTAAAAGTAACGGTGCACTTTATTTAGGGAAACCTACACAGACACGGGGAGAACATACAAACTCCACTCAGACAGGCCCTGTTTTGTCCGGGATTCAAACCCAGGACCTTCTTGGTGAGAAGCGAGAGTGCTAACCACTCAGCCACAGAGCAGCCTGTTCTAGTGCATCATGGGGACAGCAGCTCAACATCTTTAAAGAAGCAAACTCACTCTTATTGCTGAGCATCTGATGACTGTCGAAGCCTCCAAAGGTCTCAGCGCGGCGAGGGAGGCACACGGCTCCTGCTGCTCCTCCTGCTCCTGCTGCTCCTGCTGCTCCTGCTGCTCCTCCCTGTATGCTGGCCATGGCCCCTCCCAAACTGCCACTCACCAGAGCTTGTAATGTCTCCACTGCCACAGACAAACACAGCCATGCACAGGTCACTAAATGAATTACACAGAATAACTATGTTAGTCCAGCTCTCGTACATCCTCCCTCTGCCTCAGTATCCACCGGATCCTGTTGCTAAGCAACAACCAGGAACACTTTGTTTTATAGTCCTGCTCTATAGTAAAGTGTAAATATGTATATGCTGTAAAACTAAATATGTGCAGACATTGGTTACAACCAAAATCAGGGAAGTGAAAATGAAAAATCCATAAGACTGTAGCGGAGAACTGTAATAGAAACAATGTCTTAAAGAAAACACACTTCAGACTTCATCCAAGGACCTGGTCCAGGACTAAGAGAACGGACCTGGTCCAGGACTAAGAGAACGGACCTGGTCCAGGACCAAGAGAACGGACCTGGTCCAGGACCAAGAGAACGGACCTTGTAGATGACTAAAGCTGTGAAAACCTTTTGAAACTCTGCAGACTGAAGGAAACTGTTCATATATTTGAATACTATATCTCTGTAGTGTTAAAGTACATGTGTATCACTAAAGTGAAGTGTGGCTGATAAACACACCTGTGTCTGTGTTGTTAATTATCGTCTGTATCAAAGTTACCTTCCTGAAGAGCCTCCTTCATGATGGCGGCCCCTCTGGGGGGCTCCTGGCTGCAGTCTGACCTGAAGAAGGGCCCCTGATGACAGGTCTCGTCTGTGGAGCTCAGACCCTCCCACATGCCCCTGAAGAGGCGCACCTTCTCCTCCAGCAGGGACAGGATCTCGGTGTCTTTCTGCTTCAGTAAATCTGAGCAAAGGAAACAGATCAGACACGACTCCTGAAGATCACACTTTATTTTTGTTTGTATAAAAACAGACACACACACAGACGCACACACAGACGCACACACAGACGCACACCTCTCATTTCCCGAGCTTTGGTCTCCAGTTGTCGCTTGTCGTCTTCGGTCTCACTTGGAATTCCTTCATCTTCATCTTTGTCCCTGGAAGAAAAACACCCCTTTTTACATTTGACAAAACACACATCTTACAGAACACAACCTCAAAGTGAACACAAAGTTTATGCTAGGACGCACACGCACAGACGCAGACACAAACACACAGACGCACACACACTCACACACGCACACAGACACACTCACACACGCACACACAGACACAAACAGACGCACACACAGGCGCACACACACAGGCGCACACACACAGACGCACACACAGGCGCCTCAGACCTCTGAGTGTTTTGTTTACACCTTCCTGCCAAAGCTTGATCTCAATTTTGTTTTTGTCAGAAGTCAGAGACGGCACAAGGCGCCTCCTCCTGCTGCCTCCTCCTGCTGCCTCCTCCTGCCGCCTCCTCCCGCTGCCTCCTCCCGCTGCCTCCTCCTGCTGCCTCCTCCTGCTGCTGCCTCCTCCTGCTGCTGCCTCCTCCTGCTGCTGCCTCCTCCCGCTGCCTCCTCCCGCTGCCTCCTCCCGCTGCCTCCTCCCGCTGCCTCCTCCCGCTGCCTCCTCCCGCTGCCTCCTCCCGCTGCCTCCTCCTGCTGCCTCCTCCTCCTGCTGCCGCCTCCTCCCGCTGCCTCCTCCCGCTGCCTCCTCCCGCTGCCTCCTCCCGCTGCCTCCTCCCGCTGCCTCCTCCTGCTGCCTCCTCCTGCTGCCTCCTCCTCCTGCTGCCGCCTCCTCCCGCTGCCTCCTCCCGCTGCCTCCTCCCGCTGCCTCCTCCCGCTGCCTCCTCCCGCTGCCTCCTCCTGCTGCCTCCTCCTCCTGCTGCCGCCTCCTCCCGCTGCCTCCTCCCGCTGCCTCCTCCCGCTGCCTCCTCCCGCTGCCTCCTCCCGCTGCCTCCTCCCGCTGCCTCCTCCCGCTGCCTCCTCCTGCTGCCTCCTCCTCCTGCTGCTGCCGCCTCCTCCTGCTGCCTCCTCCAGAATAATCCTCTTCTCACGGAGCGCTGCCCTTGAAGCCGATCCCTGAGTACGTCCCAGCCTCAGGGAGCAGCACTAATCCTCCCGACAGCGCTCACAGCTTAATGTTCGTTACAATCTACAAACACGACTCCTGACCGAACCTCCGAACACGATCTAATTCTATTTCAAAAATTAAAAAAAACTCTTCAAGGAGTAGTTTGTAAAAAATGTGGCCAAAAGTGGTACTGCAGCCTCTCCCACTGTCCCTGACTCAGGTTGCCAGATATGCAGACGAATCCAGCTGGGACCATAACAGCTGAATAGACAAGAGTTTTGTCAACAACAAATCTATAACATAACACCTTTTTCACAAAGATAGAAATCCTGGTTTTATTCCTTGTTTTGTCGTTAATGATTTGAGAATCATAACGAGACCTTTTTTAGTTCTGCGCCACATGGTACTTTACCAGTGATATTAGCTCCACGCGGTGAGTTCTGGCGCCCGGATCACAGACTTTCTGATTGGTGAAACGGTGGAGGGCGGGACATCGAAATGAAAACAATAACAAGATTTAGAGGCTGGAAAAGTAATTTAGAAATTCAAATATCTCTGAACTACTGTTATCAGTTAAAGAAGTATTGGAAAAGAACAGATTATTATTATGACAGATTAGGGCCCTTTAATGATGACAGATTAGGCCTCTTTAATGATGACAGATTAGGGTCCTTTAATGATGACAGATTAGGGCCCTTTAATGATGACAGATTAGGGTCCTTTAATGATGACAGATTAGGCCTCTTTAATGATGACAGATTAGGGTCCTTTAATGATGACAGATTAGGGCCCTTTAATGATGACAGATTAGGGCCCTTTAATGATGACAGGTTAGGGCCCTTTAATGATGACAGATTAGGGTCCTTTAATGATGACAGGTTAGGGCCCTTTAATGATGACAGATTAGGGTCCTTTAATGATGACAGATTAGGGTCCTTTAATGATGACAGATTAGGGCCCTTTAATGATGACAGGTTAGGGCCCTTTAATGCGATAGAAAGTGATTAGAAAGTGTAAATTTCAATCTTCCTTTCCTGACGTGCAGTGAGTGATGTCGCACAGTCCAGTGTCGACTCCGACCCCTGAAAAAAACGCTCGCCTTGTCTATTTTTGACGACTTTTCACAGCAGCGTCCCGCCCCTAACCTCTTCTTATTGGTCAAAACACGCTGCTTCCTGCTACTGCGTGGGTTGATGACATCACAGACAAAGAAAGGAGAGCTCTAAACAAGGTGCTCCGCTGTGCAAAGAGGACTGTGAGACCAGAGAGAGACCAGAGAAAGACCAGAGAGAGACCAGAGAGAGACCAGAGAGGGACCAGGGAGAGACCAGAGAGAGACCAGATAGAGACCAGAGAGAGACCAGAGAAAGACCAGAGAGAGACCAGAGAAAGACCAGAGAGAGACCAGAGAAAGACCAGAGAGAGACCAGAGAGAGAGACCAGAGAGAGACCAGAAAGAGACCAGAGAGAGATCAGAGAGAGACCAGAGAGGGACCAGAGAGAGACCAGAGAAAGACCAGAGAGAGACCAGAGAAAGACCAGAGAGAGACCAGAGAGGGACCAGAGAGAGACCAGAGAAAGACCAGAGAGAGACCAGAGAAAGACCAGAGAGAGACCAGATAGAGACCAGAGAGAGACCAGAGAGAGACCAGAGAAAGACCAGAGAGAGACCAGAGAAAGACCAGAGAGAGACCAGAGAAAGACCAGAGAGAGACCAGAGAGACCAGAGAGAGACCAGGGAGAGACCAGAGAGAGACCAGAGAGAGACCAGAGAGAGACCAGATAGAGACCAGAGAAAGACCAGAGAGAGACCAGAGAGAGACCAGAGAGAGAGACCAGAGAGACCAGAGAGAGACCAGGGAGAGACCAGAGAGAGACCAGAGAGAGACCAGAGAGAGACCAGATAGAGACCAGAGAAAGACCAGAGAGAGACCAGAGAGAGACCAGAGAGAGACTGGTCTGTGCTGTGCTCAAGATATGTATAAAAAAACAGAAAAGTCAAAAGTCAGGTCATGGTGCAAGTCCTTTGAAAAAAATATGAAAAAATACATGAAATAAGAAAATACTGCTTAAAATAATAAAAAGTATCTGAAATGAAGGAAATATGACTTAACATTACTGAAAATAACACTAGCCCCAAACGACTTCATTCTAGTTTAAAAACATACATTTCAAGTATTATTTACTTACTTTGACAACAAAAGTCTGGAAATATTAAAAAAATACTTAACTCACTGCTCAGACTTTTTTCTCCAAGATAATGAAGTTTTATTATCTTACAACTACTAAAATAATCTTATGAAAAATACATTCAAGCAACAAAAACTTACCATAAAAAATAAGCTTATTTTTTATTAATAGTAAATAAATCCAAGAACTCTTACCAAGAAGTGTTTTCAGAGTTCAAAAGACAACATCAAAGTGAGGATAATAATAAAGAGAAACACTGAACAAGGCAGATATTTGTTCTTATTTAAAGCAGTATTTTACTTATTTTCATATATTTTTTTCTGACTTTTATCCAGAGTAAAATGAGAAATAATCAGATTAAAACCCACACGTACTGTAAAACAAAACAACAAATCATCTCGTATTTTCTGCTCAAATTCCAACATATCACCTCAATAAACATCCATATTAAAAGAACGCTGAAGTCCAAAGTCCAGTCATGGTCCAGTCCCGGATCCAGACTCACATGGCCTGCATGGCGTCCTGAATGCGCTGCATCCAGCTGTTGCGCTCTTCCTTGGAGCTCGCCAACACCTCCATCATCTCGGGCTTTTCGATCCCGGCCGTGATGAGGAAGAGGCCGCGCTCTTCGTTGGCCACTTCCCGAACGATGAGCTTCTGCAGCGAGAGGACGGTGGAGCGCTGGTCCTGCACAGCACAGGCCGTTACCATGACAGCGGGGCCAGAGATAAACAGATCATGGGAGGAGGCGTGAGGAGGGAGGAGGGAGGAGGGAGGAGGGAGGAGCCCGGAAAAAAACGTCCATTTAACAGTCATTCATGGACATTGGTCAACTCCCTCTGGAGCAATTACTACATGTCACTGAGAAAACTAAAGAAGAATAAGAAGAGGAAGAAGAAGAAGAAGAAGAAGAAGAAGAAGAAGGAGGAGGATGAGAAGGAGGAGGAGGAGGAGGAAGAAGGAGGAGGAGGAGAAGGATGAAGAAGAGGAAGAAGAAAGAGGAGGAGGAGGAAGAAGAGGAAGAAGAAGAAGAACAAGAAGGAGGAGGATGAGAAGGAGGAGGAGGAGGAAGAAGAAGGAGGAGGCGGAGGGAAGAAGAGGAATAAGAAGAAGGAGGAGGAGGAGGAGGAATAAGAAGAAGAAGAGGGGGGAGGAGGAAGAAGAGGAAGAAGAAGAAGAAGAACAAGAAGGAGGAGGATGAGAAGGAGGAGGAGGAGGAAGAAGAGGAATAAGAAGAAGAAGAGGGGGGAGGGGGAAGAAGAGGAAGAAGAAGATGAAGAGGGGGGAGGAGGAAGAAGAGGAAGAAGAAGAAGAAGAACAAGAAGGAGGAGGATGAGAAAGGAGGAGGAAGAAGAGGAATAAGAAGAAGAAGAGGGGGGAGGGGGAAGAAGAGGAATAAGAAGAAGAAGAGGGGGAGGAGGAGGAGGTGGAGGAGGAAGAAAGAGGAAGAAGGAAGAAAGAATAAGAAGAAGAAGAGGGGGGAGGAGGAAGAAGAGGAAGAAGAAGAGGAAAAGAATAGCTGCTGATGTCCACAGGAGGCGTTACAGCACGTACAGGCGTTATACGCGCAGCAGACGCGCATAACTTGTTTCCATGTCAACCTATGATGATATTTACACTTCTATTGCTCTACGCGTGTATGACGAACGTATGCCGCGTGTATGACGAACGTATGCCGCGTGTATGACGAACGTATGACGCGTGTATGACGAACGTATGACGCGTGTATGACGAACGTATGACGCGTGTATGACGGACGTATGACGCGTCTCTCACTGAAATCTCATGTGAAACAGGATTTTTCTAGCGGTCCTTCACTGCAAAAAATGATCAAATATGATGATCTTTAACGAGTTTTTTCTAACTTGACTGAAGTTCATTCTGACTGTCTTAAAATGAGATTTGCCAATGAGACAAGCAATTTTGACTTGATTCAAGAACTATTGCTTTATTTTCTCATTCCAAGAGAAAAATATCTTGTATCTTTTTAAAACAAGACAATTTTTCTTGTTCCACTGGCAAATCTTGTTTTAAGGCAGTAAAAATGTGCTCATATTTAGATACATTTAGCCAAATTTTTGCATTTTTTTGTCTTTAATTCTGTCATCTTTTGCAGTGTTGGCTCTAGATCACATCTACACACACACACACACACACACACACACACACACACACACACACAGACACACACACTGCACTTGTATCTAAACATCAGCAGGAGGAGCAGCAGGTTTTACAGTGATTCTGGACATAGTTTTTATTCTTTCGTAAAGTCTGGCGTCTGGCCAAACCAGCACAGAGACCATGAAGACAAACACATGCATCTGTTTTCTGTTGCTCTACATCAGTCTCTGTACTGTCCTCTGCACTGCTCCACAGACTACACAGGGACAGCATCAGAAGGACCTGCGCACGACCTGTGTAGATACACCCAAATAATGTTACGCACGTGTGTGCGCAGTCAACGTTTGCGCCTACTGTGTAAATTCTCTGTAAGAAGGAAGAAGATGAAGTAGACTGTTAGCATACGTTAGATTTATGCTAACAGTCTGTTTGTTTTTCTGTAATATAATTTGTAATATAATCTGTAATATAATCTGTGGAACTTTGAGGTTTCCTGGAACTGTAATGTGCAATATAAATAAATGTATTATTCAGTAAAGACCACTTCTGCTGTGTCTACAGAGGACAGAGGAAGGAGCTAGAAGCATAGACTGTAGTGTTAACGTAGTCAGGCCTATCTGCGCCGTTGAAACTAATGTGCCACCCCTTTCGCCGTCTATGCGCCGTTTTAAAATGGCCGCGGGGAAAATGTGAAAAGAAACCGCATTTGCCTTTAAAATTCCACATCGACTTAACTAGACTGGTCCAACAAAATACTCTCCTCTCAACACACTGGAAAAAGTGAAATCTAGGCAAGATATAATTTCTTAATTTAAGACAAAAAATTCTTGTTTTTTGCTGACAAGTTATTTTTGCTCAAAATGAAATTGTCTGGCAAGATAATTTCGCTAGTTTTAAGAAAATTATTACTTAATTATCTTATGAGGTGAAATAGTCTTGTTGTTGAGTATTAAAAGCTAGTAATAAGTACATTTAGGCTTAAATCAAGTATTTTACACATTTTAAGATGTTTGACCAATAATCAAAGGACCGCACCTGGAGTTTTTTAAGTAAAATGTTCTTATTTTAAGATGTTGCATAATCGAGTAATAAGACAAATTGAAAAATATAAGTATCAAAACAGAAGACAAAACTGTCATGTAGATTCTCTCCAAGCAATTTATTTAGTCCACATGGCATACAATCAAAACTGCTCTTACATGCTCCATCATTCATCATTACATCATTATCACCAGATGGGCATGTTCATACATCATTAATAATATTACAGCCAGCCAAATGTATATGGAAAGAAACCATTCAGTTGCAGTGCAGTTCCATAACATCTGTCAGACAGTATTTGATTAGTACATAAGTTTGATTTCCATTGTTTAAGATGTAATAAGGCATGTAATCCACCAACTTCTCCACCTCCACCACCTCAGTGTCCTGATCCTTATGTGGCACTTCAACCTGATAACACATGTGCTGTCTGTCAAAGCACACAGTCCGACATAGCTGATACTCAAAACAAACACATGTACTATTGACAACAAATATGTTTTTGATCTTTCCAAACTGTGGGATAGTGCGGTTATGTACTTTAGCTAAGACCAAAGACTTTTGTTTTATGTATTTGTTACTGTTAATGACAATCCATTTCACTGACACCGCGTGCTGTACATCACCGAGACCCAAGGATACTCTCAACTTTTCAGTGAGAATTTGCACATTGCCAACCTCCGACACTGGTCCTAACTCACGGTCATTTGAGAAAACAGGGTGCACTGAGGGATCAACATTTTGACAGCTTTCATATATTTGGTTTTGATTGATCAAAGACTTGCAGATATTTTTAAAGTTTTGTTTTGTAGCCTTTTGCTTGAAAAAGACATGCTTTGACTCAAAACGCATGCACATGTGTCTAACCATTGGACCAAGTGATCGTATCTGTGATGGTAAATGAATCATGTAATGTTGCTTAGGTGTTACATTGCGGTCAGGAAAGAGCTCTTTCCAACGTTTCAAATGATTTTCAATCAGTACTTTTAACTTTGAGATGGTCGCAATTGAAAGAAGTGGAGCAAATGCAATCTGTACAATGTCTATCAGCTCCAGTATCAGTTGACCCTCTTCAGTTAAATCCAAGCTTGGCAAAATAAATGGCAGAATCCGTAACATCACAAGCATTTGACCGGATGACTGTTTCAGCTTGTTGTCATTGGACATTAATGTGTTAACAGATATTGGTGTGGGTCGATCTCTAACGTCTAGAGGGGAGTAGGGAAAACCAAGTATACCGGAATTCACAGAGTCCAGATCCACCTGTCCTGATTGAATGAGATTATTCAAAACACATTTTACTTCAAGTGGGGCGATGCCCTCCAGGATCACATGCATAATGTCCTGTGGTGTTTGTTGGATGATATCAAAATAGGGAAATTCCACTAGCTTACTCCTTCTGTTAATTCCATACGTTGTTTTTAGACTGTTGCGAAGCAGGTCTGTTTGTGCCTTTTCAATCTCATCACATTGTCTCACATGCCTCTCCAAAGATCTTTTAGTAAATGCATCCTCACAGAATTGGAACTGCATGTCCTGAAAGGAACACTCACAGTGTCTACACTTACTGAAGGCAAAGCCGACCCCCTCTTTAAAACCTGCCATTTCATGCTGTGCAAGTGTATCTCCACAGAGTGAGACCATCGCACCATATACTGTTTTCTTTCCATTAACTGTGTGAATTTCAACACCATTGTGCAACTTGTCCAAGTCCTCCTTAATTCTGTTCAATATGGGGTCCACCCCAGGCTGTCGAAGATCTGCAGATTTTGCCATGGCAAGAAGCCTGATGGCAGCCAGTTTTGATCTGTATTTTGGGTTTATATTACCTAATGTGTAGTACACCATTAGTAGTTTGTTTTTTGAAGCACAGGACCCGAGTGGATTGCAAATCTCTATTTCATCAGTGTACAGAATGATCTGTAGTGCATCTGGTTTGGTGGAAAATACGGGATGTGACTTCAAAAGCTCACCATCAATAATGTCATAAACAAATCCTTCATTGCACTTTTTAGGGCCCACCTCAACAATTGACCAAATCCGGGGATGTGAAAGAAACTGCTTCAGACTTTCAACTAACGGCACATAGTAAAACACTTTGCTCTTGATAGTGTAGCCTGCACCTTTTTTTCCCAGGATTTGACCAACAGGAATTTCCTCTGCTTCCAAAGAATCAAATTGTTTCTTCATGATACTGTCCTGGCGAAGGTTGTTGCCACCTCAGCAAATGGATCAACAAACCGGTCAAATACATCCAGGGCATCCTTTTCCAGTTGACTTGCGGAGGCATTTCCAGAATGTTTCTTTAGCACATCCTCCATCTGCTTCTTGAGGTGGTCCATTAGAAAAGACTGGTACTGCTGTACTCCAGCAACAATGGTGTTCACAGATTTCTGAAACATGCAAAATGATAAAATATATATTTGTTATCAGGTTGTGCTATGTTAAAAAAAATATAAGTGCAACAGAATGCAATTGACACAGTTACCTGTGATATGTTAGACTTGGCCCTGGTATTGATGACAAACAGTGTGGCATGTCTTCTG